TCCCTCTCTCTCTCTCTCTCTCTCTCTCTCTCTCTCTCTATATATATATATATATATATATATATATATTTCACTGTCACTTACTGTCAACAATGAGGCACTAAAGTGGCCACAAACGATCCATAGAGAAAATGCACTTCCCTATATGTCTTAGGTAGTGGGGGAGCGTAGACTCATGCTAGACTCCTTCGTGAATCACAGTGCTGCCTTAGGCATACCCAAAACAAATCTGGAAAAGTGAAATGGTGAAAATTAGTTGAACACTAAGGGCCCTACTTAGTAGACTAGCTGGCACCCATGTGCTCAGGGTAAGTACGGGCATAACTGCGATATTCAAGTTGTGTTTGTGAATTTGATAGATGTGCTACAACTCACTGAGCATTCCTGCTGCGCCCCCCAGTGCATCTGCAAATTTAGTTACAAAAGTAGACTGGATTTTATACTCGGTAAAGCATGTCTAAATGGTAGGGTAGGTGGTATAATGCGATTTTGGTGTATTAGATCAAGGTGCAGGCAGACAGATTCGGCAGTCCGGATGTGTGTTGTGGATGTTATCTGATTTAATGTGCGTCCTGAGTGCAAGGCAGGCTCCAATTGCCCACGTCACATGCACGGCTGACTAAATCATCCACAAGGGGGGATCTTGCAGTTTACCTGTCAAGCATGGACTCCAGCAAGCCTATTTCTGTTTCCACAATGTAATTGGGCATACTGCGCGCCAACCACTTTGATTTGAGTGCAAACGAGGGATGCAGCTACAATTGGCTGTGCAAAGATTACGTCCATTCCTCAACAACGCAAACGTCCCATTACGCCCAATTCTACCTGTGCAAAGTCTAGCAAAATGCCAAAAGAATTAAAACGTCATAGTCAGACTGTGCTTTGCGCTGGACTTGCTCTGGAAATGAAAATAGAGCCAAAAATCTCCGCAACTGTGTACAACATAAATCCTAATTGTCTCTTCTTAAATCCATATTTTTGCTTTTCTAGCCTGAAGGGGTGCTGATTAAGTCTCCTCAGATCGTAAACCTTGACCCTGCTAAAGAAGGAATAAGTAAGTTTTCACATTCCACGACACTGTGACAAGAACATTGTAATTGTTTCATGTTGTTTTATTTATTTTTATTTTTTTGACACTTAATACTCAAACTTTTGTGTATACACTGTAGATGGTAAACAAGAAGTCATTATCAACAGTCAAATTCCCAAGAAAGATGTGGTACCGGGCACTGACTCTGTCACACAAATCTCTGTGATAGGTGAGATATATTTTGGTTGTGTCCAACTATCCACGTTGCTATAACTAGACAAATCCACATGCTGACACAAAGAAAATATGTGCGACAACAATCTTTTTTTCGGGGGGTTATGTTTTTTTTTGGCTATGTTTTTTTTTTTTTTTTTTTTTTTTAATTGTGTGTATCTATTTTCATGTAGGTAGAGAACAAGTTAGTGTACTGGTGGAGAATGCCATTGCTGGGACATCAATGGGTAGCCTGATTTATCAGCCTGGTGGCTGTGGAGAGCAGAACATGATCCACATGACCCTGCCTGTAATTGCAACGACCTATTTGGACAAAACCAACCAGTGGGAAACTGTGGGCTTTCAGAAACGTAATGAAGCCCTGCAACACATAAAAACTGGTAGGTTCACATTATACTGTTTAAGAAACAGGCATTAATTAAAAATATTTAGAATTAAATACTGAGGATTCCACAAACTGTCAGTGATGAAAGACACTGAAATTTGATGTCAAGGTGGTTAAAAAGTCTGTTTTGGGCACAGGGTACAGAAATGAGCTTGCTTATCGGAAGAAAGATGGTTCTTTTTCTGTGTGGGGCAATGGACGTAGTAGCAGCTGGTGAGTCACTCAAACAAACAAACAAAAAACACAATGTATCTGCCATTCGTAATCTTTCATGAACAAAGTAAGAATGTTGTGTATTCCAATGACTAGAACTGAAGCAGTGTGCCCTCTCGTCTTTCAGGCTGACAGCCTATGTTGCCAAAGTGTTCTCCATGTCCAACCAGCTGGTGGCAGTGCAAAGAGATGTGATCTGTGATGCTGTCAAGTTTCTTATTCTCAATGCGCAGCAACCTGACGGCATGTTTCGAGAAGTCGGCAGGGTGGCTCACGGCGAGATGATTGTAAGGGCAATCATTTTTCATTGCAGTGAATTGATCTTTTTGCCAACGATTCTGATCATAATGTAGCTTTATCTATGTATCGTGTACGTGCGTATGCATGTGTTTAGGGTGACGTGCGGGGTGGAGACTCAGACGCCTCCATGACAGCCTTCCATCTCATTGCAATGCAGGAGTCCAGCGCACTTTGCTCTGCCACTGTGAATGTGAGTGCTTTACCCCATATACTGGACTTGCCAACAACTTTTCATTACTGGCCTGAGAAAGCGATGGATGCAAGAATTCTGCATTAGTATGACTGATCAAGTCACCTTTTTTTTTTTTTGAAGGATAATCCTTTCAATCAATTTGCTGGCACTGGGAATAATGGTCCCAGTGCCAGCAAATTGATGACATAATTGATAGTGCAGCATCAGATGCAAGTATCTATCCCTAAGCAATGTCATTGCTAGTCTTCCTGTCATGTGTAATACATAACTAGTTAAAACTTTACAGTACAGTACATTACTGTGCCAAGCTCACTAAAACAAAAGTCACGAATGTGACTTAGGGTTTAGGAATCCCAGATGACCGTCAGAACATTCAGTCACTCGGAAACCTCGTGTTTGGCTGAGAAAACTGGAGGAAACGAACCTCTGGTGACACTTGAATTTAGATGATACCTGTCTGGCTTTATACTCAAACTGCACATGTGCAAAGTAAACATTCAGTGCTTTAACCAGTCAGTCGGGATGACATAGAACCAGTGACGTGAGGTGAGGTTCATCACTGGTGAGGCACTATTCCTCGGGTCTCAAATATAAAACTATGAACCCAAAGTACAAGATTAGCCTATACTGTATTTCAATGTTGACCTTCATTGAAACGTGTTTCAACATTTAATTATTTGTCTCTCAGTTCAGAACTGTTCACCATTGTGATGGCAAGAACAACATAAGAATATTTAATATAAGGTCACGTTTGTTGTTGTTGCATTATTATTGTTGTTTTTCAGGTCTCCCTTTAAAAAAATAAATAAAAGCATTTCATCTTCCCTTTATTTTTAATATGAAAGACCTGATTATAAAATGACTGTTACTAGGTGTCTTGATGTTTACAACAAACCCATCTGTGTGTTAGTCGGTAAAGAATTGGACGAGTTAGGATGAATTTATTGGAGCCAAACACAGTTTACCTCTAGTTAAGGGTATGAGAAAGAACACCGGGGAGTAATGTTGCATTGCCTCTCTTGTCTATCCTGAACATACATCCCTATAAATAGAACTGATATTCGCCAATTTTTGAGGAAGGCTTAATCCACTGCAGAGGCACACATCTGTCATCAGGGGAAATTGATAACTAAAGCTGCGTGTCATCTGCATAGCTTATGATTGCCACCATTGGGTTCTGAACAACAGAACAACAGGGGTCCAAGGACTGACCCTTGGTACTATCATGATCCCCCATTTTACTTTCTTCTCCATCTCTCCAGAGTTTGGAAGATAGCGAGGCCAAAGCTCTTGCTTACCTGGAAAAGCGTCTGCCCAGCCTCACCAACCCTTATGCTGTTGCCATAACATCATATGCTTTAGCGAATAAGGAGAAGCTGAACAAGGAGATCCTCTTCAAGTTCGCTTCCCCAGGTGAATTCGAAAACTGTGTTCATTTTACTCCTTGGTATTCTATAATCAAAGGTAAATTATAGTGCTGTGACCAAAGGAAAAAAATAAAAAAAATGAAAATACATTCTAATATAAACTGACACACTGTAGCCATAGTATTGTGATTTCCAGAATAAATATATATTTTTTGGATCCGTTACAAAAATGAATGACGTTTATTAAATTGTGTTTATTGTGTTGCAGATAATTACTATATTTCATATACATATTATAAAATATGAATTGAAGCAATATTTTACAAATTGCATGTCTCCTTGCAGAGTTTTCCCATTGGCCTGTACCAAAGGGACATATTTATACACTGGAGGCTACAGCTTATGCTCTTCTGGCTTTGGTCAAGGCTCGGGTAAGTGAATTTGATTCATATGGGCGCCACAAAAAAATAGGGTGATTTTTCTCGAAAGAAACTGTGTTCGAGACTGACCTTGTCACCGAGGATACATCAAAATCAATGTAAAACGTCATCATTCATTTAAGCAAAGGTTTACCACATTGTCCTGTAATATTATTGACTGAGAACCACTTTCAACAGTAGTTGATAGTTGCTACATGTACTGTCCATCCAGTGCAAAATGTTGATTTTAATCTGTTCATAAAGGCCTTTGAGGAAGCCAGACCTGTGGTGCGATGGTTCAACAAGCAGAGGAAGGTGGGCGGAGGCTATGGATCGACTCAGGTGAGAGTATATTTTATGGCCAAATTCGTGTCATCTGGGCTCAGCTCAGAGCTTTTCCTCTTTTTGTCTGGATAGGCGACAATCATGGTATATCAAGCTATATCGGAATATTGGACCAGTGCCAAAGAGCCAGATTACGATCTGAAAGTGGACATTGATGTGCCGGGCAGATCGAGACCTCTCAAATATAACTTCAACAAGCAAAACCACCATGCCACAAGAACAGCTGAAGTGAGAGGGCCCCCACATCTCATTAATCTCGCAATCTTACTGCTGTCCAAATTAAACATCTATAAATAAGCGTTTGTGTGCATTTTTAACCCACAGATGCAGAGTATTAACCAAGATGTCAAAGTTACAGCTGAAGGTAGTGGAGAAGCAACACTAACGGTAAGTCAACTAATTCTCCATGCTGTTGTTAACAGCTGCTGTAGAGGTCCAAAAACCATTTTATTGTTGAGTTTTACCATTTCATGCACCAATAATAACAACCTGTAACCTGATAACATGATAAACTGTCCACTGTGGTAACCGCTGTCTCTGAAAGGGTTAGGGGGAGAGTTTAGGTGGGGACTGTGTGTCCTCTGGCTTGGAAATGACACAAAAAGGCTGGTTCAAATTACGCCTTAAGCTCAGCGATATAACGAATAGTGCTGTCAAGCGATTAAAAAAATTGTGAGATTAATTAATTATGATCTGTAATTAATTGATCTAATTAATCTATATTTTAATCTCATCTAAAAATTGGTGAACAAAACCTGTTTTATTTTAAATTCATTACATTATTGAGGCAGATCAAAAGATTGACATCACAAAAAAAGTATCATTATAAAGTCTTTTATTGTTTTTAAATAGACTTGAACAGATGCTGTATATGTTAGTTGCTCCATGTACAGCACTTTGTGTGCAGCGATGGCTGTTTGAAAGTGCTTCATAACTACATTTGAGTCGAGTTGAGTTGAGATGCAGTCCTAGCCATTTACTTAATGCTGTATTTGAGACAAGTTACAAAATAAAAAGAACCAACATATGTTCATTCCTTGAAAATGATTTCCATCATATAATTTGCTGTTGTGTCAATCCGACAGTTGGTGTCCTTGTATTATGCCCTGCCATCAGAAAAAGAAAGTGACTGTCAGAATTTTGACCTGTCGGTGCAACTTATTCCAGGTAATGTTGATATTTGGTCATTTTTAAAAATGAGTTTGGCAATGTGCTCATCTGCCCGGATGTTTTCATTGTTTGCATGAAAACATGAAACAGCTCATCTGCTATGTCTTTGTAGAAAAACTTGATGTGGAAGAGAAGATATACAAGCTAAAAATAGAGGTTATGTAAGTACAACCAGGAAAAGAAGACTGCTAACTTACTTTTCTCCATATTGCTGACAAAAAATCAAAATCTAATTTTCAATTTTATGCTGGTGTCTGAGCAGTTATAAAAACAAAGAGCATGATGCATCCATGTCAATCTTGGACATCGGCTTGTTGACTGGCTTCCGTGTTAACGAGAACGACCTGAACTTGGTACGAGCCCTCACAGACAAACCTTGCATTGTCATTATCGCGTCGAAGCAGTTTCTGAGATTGTATGTTTCCGTGCAGCTGGCCAAAGGACACGCCCCCACCATTTCAAAGTATGAGATGAACACAGTCTTATCAGAGAAGGGCTCTCTCATCATCTACTTGGACAAAGTAAGGCGAAAAACTCTTCATCTTGCCCCTTTTTCCTTCATGTAGAGCTGCTTCACTTTTGTTTACACCACCTCCACAGGTCTCTCATAAGCGTCGTGAGGAAGTCAGCTTTAGGATCATCCAGACCCTGAAAGTCGGCATCTTACAACCCGCTGCTGTGTCCGTTTATGAATACTATGATCGTGAGTCACAAAGAAATTTCTGCCTCACACAGTGTTGTTATATGGTGCAGAGAAAGATGAGATCGATTTTTCTCCCGAAAGATATTTTTTGGAAAGATGTGGGGTCTTAACAAGATGAAGAAGAGTCAAGGGGAACTAATTGATTGTGTCAAATACGGTTGAGCAGGGCGGCCCAGTGCTCCAGTGGTTAGCGCGTCGACCTCACAGTGCAGAGGTACCGGGTTCAATTTCAGCTCCGTCCTCCCTGTGTGGAGTTTGCATGTTCTCCCCGGGCCTGCGTGGGTTTTTTACGGGTACTCCGGTTTCCTCTCACATTCCAAAATCATGCATGGCAGGCTGATTCGAACACTCTAAATTGTCCGTCCCTAGGTGTGAGCGTGAGCGCGGATGGTTGTTTGTCTCAGTGTGCCCTGTGATTGGCTGGCAACCGATTCGGGGCACACTGAGTCATGGTTCATCACGTTAACGTCCACCTTGATGTCGCCCCCAGTGCAGTCTTGACACTCCACAAAAATGTTTTCTGCTGCTCCGACCTTCAACAGGTTGGGGGAAGACATCACCTTCATGCAGCACATGAGAGGGAGAATCATTAGAAGCTAAGGATAAGCTAAAGATACACAGACCTACGCTCTTGGTCACAACATTAGGTACACCAGCACATAATGAAACTCCACAGCAGAGCTGTATCAAAAATTTGGCTTTTATAAACTTTATTCTAAAATTCCACAAAATATTCCAAACATCAGATTGCTACGATTGTATTTCATAAAGCACTTTAATACTTTGTGAAGTGTTTTTAAGGACGGTTTTAATGAATTTGCTCATTCATCTGCTTTATCGTTTTCATGTTGAAGCAGGATTCTTCAGTGAACATTAGCGAATGCAGTTTGCACTTGCATTGGTTGTTTCTCCCTTTTTCTCCCTTTCTTATCATTTTGATCATGTCACGACCCTACTCTAAACGCCCCACCATGTCGAACCTAAGGAGAACGTCCCTCGCAGCCACCCCTACACGAACTCTGCAAACAATGAGTCAACTGTTGACTGCAAGGAGTCAAATCCAGCATTTGATAAGAACAATATTTCACCACTGCACTGTTTACCCTGTTTGATGTAACGAAACAAATATCCGACCAAATTACCTTGACTTGTGGAACTGCAAACGAGTGGTCTTGATAATCATTACGCAAGTGGACTAAGCCAATGTTTGCAATTCTCAAATGTTATTTATTCAAATACAGTGCGTGATAGTCATGAAGACGAGACAGACAGACATTTCAACTACTCGATAGCTAGATAGATAGTTACATGAATAGCTATGGCATTGTAGTGCCAAGAATAGTGCTTTAAGGCTTTACATGTTTTCCTTTCTGTTAGTCACATGATGGACGGCCCGGTGGACCAGTGGTTAGCACATCGACCTCACAGTGCAGAGGTCGTGGGTTTGATCCCGGCTCCGGCCTTCCTGTGTGGAGTTTGCATGTTCTCCCCGTGCTTGCGTGGGTTTTCTCCGGGTACTCCGGTTTCCTCCCACATTCCAAAAACATGCATGGCAGGCTGATTGAACACTTTAAATTGTCCTTAGGTGTGAGTGTGAGCCTGAATGGTTGTTTGTCTCTGTGTGCCATGCGATTGGTTGGCAACCGGTTCAGGGTGTCCCCCGCCTACTGCCCGAAGACGGCTGGGATAGGCTCCAACACCCACCCTGACCCTTGTGAGGTTAAAGCGGATCGGAAAATGAATGAATGAAAATCCGGTTTAGCAGTAAAATCAGAAACGAATCTCAGTCCTTGGCTACAGACAGAGCAACTTTCTCAAACCACACTTGACAACTCAACAAGACAGTCAATACTGTCCATTTCTGTGAGCTCAACAAAAACTGCTTGTCTATTTGTAGAGAGGCATTGTGTGAAATTCTACCATCCTGAGAGGAGAGCAGGTCAGCTGTTGAAACTCTGCACAAAGAACGAATGTACCTGTGCTGAAGGTAAGTGGACGACAATTTCCAGTTTCCTCAGACTGTATCATGTGAATTTTCTGAAAAAAACAAAAAACACAACAAAAAAACGCAGCTGCATAACAGAACACTAACACATCACTGCATCCACTTAAATAATCTTTTTTTCCTCCCACCCAGAGAACTGCAGTCTACAAAAGAAGGGTCAAATCAGTAATGATTTGCGCGCAGAAAAGTCTTGTGAGAGTACCCCAACCAGCAAGATAGACTTTGGTAAGAGAACGTACAGTACAGTATGTTGATTTTATTTGTCATATTAGGTGATCGCGCAAATGAGTAAGCAAGAAGATAATGTGTAACTTGGCTTTCCTTAGTGTACCAAATACAATTGGAACAATTGAAAGACAGTCTGTCAACTGACCTCTACACAGCACGGGTGAATAAAGTCATCAAAGAAGGTGGGATTGGATTTTTATTGACCTTGGAAATATTCACATTTGCTGTCTTACGTATGACTGGTGTCGGGCAAAATGCTGACTTTTCAGGAAACAAACGGCATGTCTTTTTTTGAGCCACTAATGTTGCATTATTAAAGAGAGCAAGCCAGTTTCAACACTTTAAATTGCTGAATCAATTCTAAAAATAACAGACGCAAATGGGAACTGACCAATTGCAGAGATGTGTGAAAAAATATGAAATTGACCAAATTTGGACCTGGGAGGTTTAGCCCTGACAGGAAAGATATTTTTCAAAAATATTGATGCTCTCATACTGATGACACTTTTTCCATGAATAATATTTTCTTTCTTCTCCCATGTTGCTATTACAGGAAATAAAGATATGGGTGCCCAAGGGAAACTGCGCACATTCCTCAGTTATCCACACTGCAGGGATGCTTTGGAGTTGGAGATTGGCAAATCCTATTTGATCATGGGCTCATCGAAAGATATTTACAGAAATGACGAGGCACAAACGTGAGTCTCCGGATGTGTAAAATGTGTGCGAGAGTTGAGTGACCTTTTTTTTTTTTGACATCAAGGCTGGTTCTGTTTGGTGTTCGATGTTCACTCACTTATTGGGGGTGATACACTCCAAGGCTCCCCCAATAAGTGAATTTCCGCGAAGCAGCAGATGACTTTTCAGCCATTATGACCCCCCCCCCCACACACACACACAGTTCCACCCTTCTCAACACTTGTTACACAAAATAAATATAACTTTTGAAATGCAAAATATAGACTAAAATACCGAGCTGCTGGCTATGGGCGGCAAGCTGTCTAATTTCCATGGTCTCGGTTTTTGTAAAACAAATACCAAAAAAAAAAAAAATCAACATTTTGTTTCACTGGGCCGACTTAGAAGGGAGAAAAGGAGCAAGAAAATGTGGCTAAATAGCAAGGTAAAATAGCAGTACATGATGGTCACAAATGAAAAATCCGCCATCGAGTGAATCCACAACAACCGAAACCGCGAAGTAGCAAGGGAACACCGCACGTGAAAGATGACCTTATTTTTACCGTCTTCTCTTCAGCTTCCACTATGTTTTTGGAGAGAACACCTGGCTCGAATACTGGCCGACACCAGCGGAGTGTCAAAACCAAGAACACAGACCTACTTGCTTAGGGATGGAGCTCCTCATCAAGAAATATGAAGGTTTTGCATGCGAACAATAGTCGAGCCAAGCACATTCAATGAAAATATGTTTTCACCATCCTCATCACATGAATCTTCTCTTTTTATGTCATTGAATGTGTCAACCTGCTAATTAAAATTAAATTGATGCTCATCTCACTGCCTCTGTTTCACTTTGAATTCATGAATTAGAAAAGCAGTTTGATGAGTTGTGAAAGATCCACAAAATCAGAAGATGGTTTTAAAACTAACCCTGTTACTGTATCATGAAAGGGACAAAAAGGACTTATTCTTCTCTTCATAGTCACCCGTTGACCCCTTGGACTGGATTTTGAGGTGTGAAATTCTGATGGATATTTTGTCACGTTAAAGACAGCGCATCTCAATTACTTTCCGTTCCCCGCCTACATGAAAGCAGACTGATTATCATTTGTGTTAAATCCAAATTAGACATTTGTAAAAATCTGCTTTTACTTTGGAAAACAATGATCAGTTTACAAAAGGAACATAAAGGAACACCACTCCCTTTCCTGTGATATTGATTAATTGTTGTTTGGTTGTTGTTGTTGTTTCTTTTGTTATTCTTAAACAATACTAAATATATGACAATAATTAGAAACAAAAAAGAGAGATATCCAGATCACTTTACAAGTCACAAATTAACATGTTTTTAGATGCTGCCACCTATTGTAGTTGACTTGCAATTACACATTCTTGAATGGCAAAAAAAAAAAAAAAAAAAAAAAAAGAGTTCCCTGGGTCACACGCGGCCCCTCCCCACCCCGACATCTCACCGCACCCCTTCCGGGGGTCCACCCCACTATTAGAGAACTGGTTACACCATGAGTACGACCTCAATCATACATTTCCCCAAAGTAGAACATAATTGATTTTTAAATGGAAATCATTTTATTTCATTCCTCTAAATTGAATTAATTCTTTGGCTTAGCCTTTTTTTAAAACTCAAATGAAACAGAAAAAATATCAATCAATTTAAAAAAATAAATAAAAAAAACATGGGTGGCCCAGGGGTCGACTGGTTAGCGCGTTGACCTCACAGTGCAGAGGTTGTGGATTCGACCCCGGCTCCGACCTTCCTGTGTGGAATTTGCATGTTCTCCCCGTACCTTCATGGGCTTTCTCCGGGTACTCTGGTTTCCTCCCACGTTCCAAAAACATGCATGGCAGGCTGATTGAACACTCTAAATTGTCCCTAGGTGTGAGTGTGAGCGTGGATGGTTGTTTGTCTCTGTGTGCCCTGCGCTTGGCTGGCATCCGGTTCAGGGTGTCTCCCGAAGAAAGCTGAGATCGGCTCCAGCACCACCCTTGTGAGGATAAAGCGGATCGGAAAATGGATGGATGGATGGAAAGATGCCTTTGTTTTATGTCTTACAAATTTTCCCACAAATAATGGAGCTCCTTTGAATAATTCCCATTTAAACTTTAAATATCAGGAACAAAACATCAATGTTCTGTGCTCCCTGGACATCATAGGTTTGTTGGTGACAAAGTAGGTCTCCAAATTCCTAACGAGTGAGGCCAAAAGGAAGCACAGTGGCACAGGCAATGAGAGTCAGCTCACTCTTTCCCCTCCCTGACCCCTTGCTGTTCTATATTTCATTCATAAAATGCAGCATCACTCGCCACTCCATTTTCACTCCAGCCAAAAGTTGCTAGGCAACAGCAGGAAAAAAAGGAAGGTGAATTGGGAAGAGGGAAACTTTCACCCATGTAATCTCGTAATTGAAAGAACTTAACAGTTGGTGCCAAGTGTGTGTGTGTGTGTGTGTGTGTGTGTGTGTGTGTGTGTGTGTGTGTGTGTGTGTGTGTGTGTGTATGTATGTATGTATGTATGTATGTATGTAAAGTATACATATATATGGGCGCCCGGTGATCCAGTGGTTAGCGCATCAACCTCACAGTGCAGAGCTACCGGGTTCAATTCCAGCTCCGGCCTACCTGTGTGGGGTTTGCATGTGCTCCCCAGGCCTGCATGGGTTTTCTCTGGGTACTCCGGTTTCCTCGAACATTCCAAAAATATGCATGGCAGGCTGATTGAACACTCTCAATTGCCCCTAGGTGTGAGTGTGAGCGTGAATGGTTGTTCGTCTGTTTGTGCTCTGCGATTGGCTGGCAACCGGTTCAGGGTGTCCCCCACCTATTGCCCGAAGACAGCTGGGATAGGCTCCAGCAGCCCCAGCGACCCTTGTGAGGATAAGCGGATCGGAAACCAGTGAGGTAGAGGGGCTGTGAGCATTTTTGTGAGCTATCATTAACATGATTAGTGTCTTCACACATTAACAGCAATCAATGGTAATAACATATCGAGGTAATTTAAACAAATTTGTTATCCAGTACAATATATATTTGTAGAGCACTTTCACAACAGCTGCAGCTTTATCTCAAAAATTGTATCAAACCGTGAACCCGTTGCATTATTAGTACGAAGAAGTTGCTCTCAGTTGCAAAAATGTTGTTAACACCTGATAAGTCAGTCATTTCAGCCCTCCGAGGTCAACGATATAGCCCACAAAGCAAATGTTTACCAGTTTACCACCCCTGAAGAAGTTGGCAGATCTTCTCATAATTGTATGTTTCCTTGTGGTACATAAGTGAATACATGACTTTGAAAGAGACCACTCCCAAATGATCAGTTTCTCAGATTTAGTGATTCATAGCTGCAGGTCGTTTGTGTTTCATTGAGTAAAATGAGCTTTTTCTTTTGATTCGATAAAATTAGATCAAAAATTCCAAATACAAATATTTGCAGAAAAAAGTCAGACAACCCACTGGGGTACAGTGTTTTTCTTGTTTTCTCGTTAAATATAATTTGAGTTTCAGATTTTGTGCACGTTCGCCCAATGAGAAGAACCAGAGTAGGCCTAGAGAGGAGTCGATGATGATATGCTTCCATTTCGATCTTTGGTTGTTACTGCAGAAAAGCTGCGCTCTCGAGTTGTATCTCCCTCCCGCGTCCGTCTACCATGCCGAGTCCTGCCAAGCTGGCCAGACCGCGCCGCGCGTGCGTTCCATTCTGACCAACATTTCTAAAAATAGCTCTTGGTTGACGTCACTCGGCGAAACGTGTATGAGTCGCTTCGCGGCGGTAAGGGGGGGGGGGCGGTGATGGAGACGACGGAGGAGTCTGAAGCTCGTGTCTGTCTTTGGAGTGATTTGAAACATCGATACAATCAGCAGTCAAACGGCAGCATCGCAATCCCAAACATTGTCACGGTCCTGACACGCCAGGTCAGCGGCGGAGGAAAATATCGGTGAGTTACCCCCATCCCACCCACCACCCCACCTTAGTTTAGTAGGGCGGCGTGATGCCGTCGTTAGAATGCCGAAGACCAATTACAGCGCGGAGTCTGACGTCGCCGTAGATTGTTGGCCAATAGAATCCGAGACTTATCTGTCAATCAAGTCGGATTCACTTGGGTGGGCGGGACATTCACTGGACTGTAGTTCCGTCATCTAGCTCATCTCCGGGGCTACTGGGGGCCAATGTTGATTTGGGCGAATACCCGTCGATATTGGTGGACAGTAGATTTTAAAAAGCCTCAGGTTGCTAGCGCGGAAGCTTTCGACTGACAACACCGCATCCCCGTTATCCCATTGCTGTTTTTTTAATGTCATTTCCATTTATTAATTTATTTATGTTTTTGGGGAGCCTGTGTTGACGGTGGAAAACCAGGAGGGGGGCCTCACTTGGAGGGGACTGCAAGGAGGCAGAGGAGAAGACTGGCTCCTCGGCGACCCGGGATTGTCGCTTGAAATCGGCTGGGTGAGCGAGCGGCTGCCTGCACCCTCGCGGCATCAGCAGCGGACAGCCTGTTCAAGATCAACACCTTGTTCGGATTTAGGAAATACGCTCTAGTCCTAATCGACCTGCTTGGCGGAGCCCGAGAGCGACTGATCGCCCGTTGACAGGTTGTCATCATGGGCAACGCTCCCACGGCTCGGAAGGGCAGCGAGATGGAAAGCGGTGAGTAGAGCAAAGCAGTACACTTCCACACCTGAGTATCACCTGGCCGGCGCCATCCTCTCCATGTGAACGCCAGGCCTTACGATGTATTTATAAAGAGCCACATCGGACTTGCCTGTACATGCAATCCATATTGTGCACACTGCCAGTTTTACAATCTGAGCCGTTTATTATGTAAGTAGTATGCTGATTACGTGGTTTGTGTTTTCAGTGGTGTACAACTGTATTACATCAGCCCTTTCTGATGTTATGTACCTCTAGTGAAGCCAAAGTAAGCAATGAAACTATCAGCCGAAACGGCCCTGTGATGCACAGCACTTCAAGTGGCAACCACAAGAGTAAACATCCCTATGTATCTAAATCAATGCACGTGGGCCAGATGTGGGCCGCCAAATCATTTCATGTGGCCCGCAAAATCAAATCATGTGTCTACATGTGTTTCTTCATGTGTTTCTTGTCATCACTTTGAATACTACTGAATTTTTGAAAGCATTTTTTGTCATCAAATCATTTTTTTTAATTAAATGGAGTAATATTTAAACAACTGTTATGAATTACCATTTTAAACTAGCTGTCCCTCAATGAGGCTACTTGTTGAGGTGTTTATACAATTTTATTGTTTTGAAACTTATCTCTGCCCTCCAGTTTTCTCCTGGTACTCCGGCTTCCTCCCACATTCCAAAAACATGTTTCCTAGGTTACTCGAAGACTCTAAATTGTTCAGTGGTTGTTTGTCTCCATGTGCCCTGTGGTTGGCTGGTGACCAAGGTGTACCTTCTCAACACTAGTAAACATGAGTGATATGATACATGAGTGATATATTCAAGAGAGATGGTTTCAGTCATCATGGCCTTCAGAGGAAAACCAAAAGTATGACAGAAATCAATTTCACACCATTGTTCTAAATGTATTGTGTATCGCTCGAGAAAAGTCAATCTGATTATCATCTTCGTAAAAACGGATGTGTTACCACAATACAGTACTCCTATTTTTGGCACTTATTTGATCTTGCAGGTGTACCTAATCTTGTGTCCACTGACTATGCACACACAGTGCATGTGTCAGTTGTTCAGTCAAGCATGATTTAATACGTAACATTTTCAACTTTGCTGCCAAAATCAACACAAGATCTCAGCATATTGACATCTTAAGTGCACTAAAACACAATCAATGTGTG